AAGAAGAGTTTAGTGTCCGGTAATATAAACATTAAAAACATTTGATGTTCTGCGTGATACATTAATTTTATAAATTTTTTTTGTTCTGCAAAACTGTAATTACGTTCTTAAAAATATTTACAAGAAATTAATTTAATACTATTAAAAGTTTATCAATTATCATTCGATTTCAAAACCTCGATTTAACTTATACAATTATTTTTTCTTTGCCACTTGCAGATTTACAGATAAAGGTACTCGCCATCTGGCGGCGTAGATTGGCTTATGATTATGATTGAGCCAGACAGCTACGACCACGTCGCCGCGACTCTGCAGATTTTTCTCAGTAAGGACGTAGCGGACGCGGGGGACGACGTGACGATTATCTTTTTCAAGATCTTAGGCGAGCAGAGTGATCGGTCGAGGCGCCTGACCGTGGCCACGGATCTGTTCGACGTGATCCGTTCGATCACGAACTTGATTTTTCCCGACTCGTGCTATCTCGACATGATGCAGTCTGAGCTGAGAATGTCCGATTTAACTTATACAATTATTTTTTCTTTGCCACTTGCAGATTTACAGATTAAGGTACTCGCCACCTTGCGGCGTAGACTGGCTTTGATTATGATTGAATTTTTATAGATTTTTAAAAATAAGGTTAAAATTGAACCAGTATTTTTCACCAGTAAGTGTTTGTTCAGTCAAAGCGAAAATAAATAAATCGATACTGATACATTCATCTTCCATAGCAAAATCTCTCGCACAATAATCTCCATAGCGCGCGCGAACACTTATGAAATTTAAATGACAATATTCATGAGTGTTTGGTAGATTATTATTACATATTCATCGTTGCAAATCCTCCGACATCACATTTCAGATATTTTCTTGCAATAATTCCGAAATTACGTAACCGTAAAATCACAGTAGAATTCACGCGAGATATCTCTCTCTGGTTCTCTCTCCTCTCGGGCTTTAGAGTATTTCGCCCACCAGCGCGTATCTATACGTGTTCCCTCAATTATCTCCGCTGCATGTGTCAGCATGTTCTGTTATTTACGTACATACGCTGTTGCACCGCTGCAGCTCCTCCGCGCGAGCAGCGCAGCGCAGTGGATGGTAATAATTCTCGATGCCGAAGCCTGATGTTGAATCATAACTTGCCTCGTGTTTCTCTCCCTGCTCGAGCGACTATACGTACAATATAAGCATCCTCATATTTATGTACTTGTACTATAATGCTAATGTAGAATACTTTTTCTCAATAATGTAAATAATTTTAAAAATTACTCGAGAAAAACAAAATCCATAGCACAGCGAGTGTATATATTGTATAAACATCGTCTCAAAGACCAGCTCTGCGCACCGGACCGAATCAACGTAATTAATAACTTTTGATGCTGTGTAGTATCACCACGCCTCGTACGTGCATAATGCATATAATATATTTCCTTTGGGAGGTATGTGTACATACGATACCGAGTACTGCACACAGCTCGAGGAGCAACGACGACGCTGTCGAGGGAGGGAAGATATCCCGGCGCTTATACACACACACACGGAGAAAGTGAAAGACCTTTTGACGTCGAGGCAAGTATTAGTGCACGTAGTGCTAGAATTTATAATGCGCCGAACATACTGCAGTTACAGTCTCTGTATAGCCTTTATAAATGCCAAAGTTTTATTGCACAATATACATGCAGCAGCAGTAGCAATGGACAAATGAAGACTTATGTTTGTTGTATATAATACGCGCGGTTATGCTAATTTCAGACACCCTGATTGTATAGTAGAGCGCGTTGCGAACAAAGTTCGCCCGGGTGGGATTGGAGAAGGGAGGGCTCAACTACTCGACTACATGAAAACACTGATTGATTAGCTATTCGGAGCCTTCCCTGTTACGCGTCGGGGCTATATAAGCGACGCGCGCACAAATCGAATTAATCATACGTATAAATTTTGTTTATGCACAGCAGACCGATCGAAAAAAAAACGTCCGTGAGAATTTTCCTTCGTCTTCGAGGGGGGTTTTAAAACGTCAACGCCGCGCGCTGCACTTCGCCAGCGTGTACCACGTCGTCCGCTCGTAAAACATCGAGGAACGAAAGAGGATGAAATTCATCGGTAAATTCGCGCGATGTCGACGGGGAGAAAGCTAAGAAGTATACACAGCGTCGAGAGAAGAAAGCACTTCGCGGCCCGCAAGATGCGTCCGGAGCTAATAAAGTTACAAATATTGACTCGCCTCGAATGGCTCGTGGATGGAGAGAGACAGAGGGAGAGAGAAAGAGTATGTACACATTATGTATAGATATATTTTAAGAAAAGTAGGTGAAAAAAAAACTGACAGAGTGAGTGAGAGAGAGAGGGATATAGAGCGAGTTTGGCACGTCTTTCGGCATGTCCGTGCGCTCGAGAGAGCCTGCGAGTGCTGTGCAGACGTCAGTCGAGATGTACAATTGATAATCACGCCCCCTCGCCGATGTATTATATACATATAAAATATGCATCGATATTTTCCTTTCGTTTTCCATTATACATCGGCGGTACTTCGCGATTTGGCATGTGCCATTATAATTTCGAAACGTATCGAATTTTGCGCGCGTTAAGAGCAGCAGAGAGCTTCTCGTATTATATCAATGCGCGCGCGCGCGCGTACTCACACAGGCACACTACGCATTTTCCGAATCGATGTTTCGGACGCGCCGCAGTCGTGCCATACAGAGCTCGCGTACAGATGTATATACAGACGTATAACACACGTACACGCACACATACAAACAGGGGGGGAGGGAGTTGAAAGGATTACGAGCAATTAATCATCGTATAAACATATAATGCGTAAGCGGGCATACGTACAATGACTGCACATAGAGCATCGTAAATTCATTACAGTGGCCCGCAAGTAGATGATGAATAATTGTTGCGAAATTTTGCAGCAAGTATACATATGGAGGAATGAAAAATTATGCGGCTCATGTTGGCCATGCGCTATATATATGTACAAAGAACCCTACACCTGGTTAAGTATATAAAGAAGCTATCTCAAATATATTCGTCGTCTATTCCTGGTGCCAAGCGACCGCCGAGCTCGCGTATTTTCTTCGAAGGATTTATCATCCGAGAGCAGATAAGGATTCGTCGCTCTGATAATTATCGATTCATAAATGACCAAAAATATAATTTTGTATTTTTAATTTACCATTGGTAATTATAAATTTATTTAGCTATATAAACGCGCAAAATCTGTAGTTGGCAAGTCAATTGAGCATTATTACTATATAGTTTATTTATTCATATTGTTAAAGTTCCGAACGTAAAACATCATTAATTATAAGCACAGAATGTTGTAGAACACGGTCAAAGATTATAAACGCGAGTCTAATTACTTGCTGTTATAAAACAATTTTTATAATTAAATGTAGAATTATGAAAAAATTAAAAGGCTCGCGTAAAAGTACATTATACGCGTACGTATTGAATGACACACGAGTGTAATGATAAAGTATTAGAAAAAATACTTTGCGCGAACGAGCGCGTACACTTCAATCGAACTCCCAGTGCAAGTCGTACAGAGTCTCGATACTGTCCATGTGGAAGATACGATAACGCGCCAGTTCGTTCGCAGTCGCGTTCTTCGGGATCGAGATCAGTTGCTCGATCGCCAGGTGAAAGATATCAGCCTGCAACTGCTCGGAATCTGCATCCACGTCGTCGTCGTCGTCGTCGTCCAGGGCTTCGCGGGCCTGCTGATAGATCTCCGCGTAATAGCCCTCCTGAAGGTCCACCCAGAGATCGTTGTAGGGGAAGCGTTTTTGGGCGTTGAACAGCTCGCTCGCCTCGTCGCGCGTGCGGTCCATGAGCTCGCGGGCCGCGCGTCGCGTCACCTTGTCCCGAAAGTCGATCTGCTCCAGTTTGAGCAAGTTGCTCGTCACCGTGGTCAGCCGGGCGAATTTCGTGGTGCTCAGCAGCTCGTGCTCCGCCGACCAACCCTCGTAACGTCCGGGCGGTCGGACGGAGTCTTCTTCGTAGGGCGCGGACTGTCGGGCGGCCGCCTCTAGACGCTGTGCCTGATTTCGCGCGATCAGCGAATCCAAGGCGGCGGCACTACTTCCGGGAGGGCGACTCATTTTTTTTCTATCGACGCGATATCGCTCGTATAGAGGATTCACTAATTACCGACCGACGGCTGCTTGCAAGGAGATCTCCGTGCGTTTTCTGGGTCACTGGAAGCTCGGCGTTGTCACAGCGAATTACACTAAACTTGTGTAATAATAATAGCCAAGAGCGCGTTAACGACCACAGAGAGTCGTACGGATAATTTTTCTGCTTTGTTTACCACAATGTATACGTATAATAACGTTGGTACGACATCAATATTGTAACAAACGAAAACAGGGCACGAGAATATCGCTACACACACACACACACACGTACCGATGTAGGTTTTCGTAAATTGTGTTATGAGATACACACAGACAGGTACACGCGGGCCGGGGGGGTTACACCGCAGCTTCTGTGTGCGCGCATATTCTGCGAAAGGCTTAATCGTTCCGACTGTACTACGTATACGTACACAGAGTAATAATTGGGCTTTTGCAGAGGCTATAGGTACACCACCTGCTTATATACACATGTAAGCGTACGTATATAGACGTATATGCAAGTTTCGCGTGCCTAATGTTGCTGTTACGATGTATGGATAATGAGGGTACTCCAACCCGTGTGTGTGTGTGTGTGTGTGTGTACTCGCAGCCCGGGATAAGTAGCTTCTGCTTCTGCGGCATCGACCATTCATACGCTCGTGTATACGTATATCTATAAAGGCCCTCGATTCGAGGCAGCTAAACTATGCATAAACGACAGAACTTGATTATACGATAATGAAGCTCTTTGGCATTACCGAGCCTCGTACCCTATATACCAGATTTTGGTCACGAGACGCGTAACCCGACGCGTGTATATACGTACGAGATGCTCTTCGGGGAATCGTATTAATGTATTTGAGCAAAAGTACTTACCGATCGTGCTCATCCCAATCGACGACGACGACGATGAGTTTTCTATCTCTCGTGTACTTCTTGAAATCCTGTTTTCCAAAGTAAATTATCTGAAACATTAAATATATCGTCCTCGTTACGAATAGTTGACGAGCTTTCTCGAGTTTGTTTTACCTGGGATAATTTCGCAAGTTCAACGCGTACAAGTTCGAAAACGGTTACATACCGTATAACCATTAACCCGGACGAGCAATTAAAATGTTTAAATCAAAGAGTCGCAAGCGCGAGCGATGAAGATGGCCCCCGCGGCTGGTACGCGGGGGCGCACTCGGGTAAATTCCAAATATTGAAAATAGCATACACAGTGCGGTTCCTATATATAGATATAATACGAATTCATTAATGCAATAGGGCTCATAAATTATATAAATTAGTTCAGTGCTAATGCAAAATTAAATTAATTATGGAATTATCGGCGCTCCCTCTCTCTCTCACTCTGCGCGGGCAGCTTTTGTTCTTTATAATTATTATCGCGCGCCCATGCGTACATAAATCGAACGTTTTCGACTTGCGAATTAGCACAAAAAAAACTCGAAGCGTAAACTTTATCAATTTCTAAAACAGCCGCTTTACAGTTTATGTTTACCAAATGGATCGCGTAATATCTAAAACGTGCTGCTGTAAAGCGTTAGCGCGCGGGGTTGAAGTATAAAACGCAGTTTGTAACAGCTTATGCACGAAAGAGAGAGAGAGAAAGCTGGCGAAACAAAGTTTTGTACGACGCACTTTGGCCTGTAATTTAGTAACATTAATTTCTGCAGCCGCGCCTTTAAACTTCTTCCTCGGCTCCCTCTCTCGTTCTGGATGATTCGGAAAATAGTTTTAAATAAACGTTTCGTCATCTCGCGGCTATGGTTTCCATACTATATATACTTCCGTCGATCAGCTGCGGATACATATCATACGCTCGTCAGGATCGAGTAAAATGCCACCGCCGCTCGCTCGCGCGCGCTATACCCCCGATATCAATAAACTGCACATAGCGGAAAGAACCTCGCGGGGATAGATATAGTCCATTATCCGCAGACGAAAACTCGTCGTTAAAATATTTCGCTCCGCGCCTATATATGTGTGAATGTGTATGCGATAGGAGGCGCACGCGCGCAGTCAAAGCAAAATGACAATCAAATTTCGAGCTTGCCGCACGAAACACAATACTATACGCGAGCGAGCCCCCCGCAACACGCGCCACAATATACATATATATATCGGAATTTTATCTCGACTTTTGTGTGTCTCGGCACAGCTGTATTGCGCTCTCGATTCACACACAAACACACGCGTTTACGCGTATACAATAATACAAATACTTTTGGCTCCGGTGCTAGTCGTATGTGTGTGTGTGTGTGTATTAAGCGTGTGTATACACTCATGCCAGTAGAGTACATTGTCGCGCAAACATAACGCCGAATGTGCTCCACCAAGCGGCGCAACGAAAGCTCGTCGCATTATATATGCGTATATCCACACACTTGACCCAATATGGATCTTTTGTCGTTCGTATATATACACGTGGCTGAAGTCGATTGTCACTATACAGATCGAATATATCTGAAGAACCACAATAGGCGCGCACACACACACACCACCGTCATCGGGGTTATTATTAATCGACATTGTTGTGAGTTCGCTCTGCTATACTCTGCGTATGGGCACTGCTGTACGTAACGAGTACATATATATACACAGTACACACCTCTTCTCGCGCCGCTGCGCACTAAATTGCAGGTAAACGCGCGCGGACGCGGTCATCGCGTAGACGGAAAAATATATATCCACCCTTATATGCACGACATTCCTTTTTTTATCCTATTAGGATAAGCGTGTATCTCTCTCTCTCTCTCTCTCTCTCTCTCTCTCTCTCTCTCTTGGTTACTACCACTGCAAGCGGATGAGGCAGAATCATCTCTGGCGATATAACAAGCTTGCCGCACACCGCGTGCATGCACATGCTTACGTACAGGCACACACGGGTATGCATCCGCGCACGCACGTGAGTCTCCCAACCGCGTAAAGGCAGTAATTAATAATGGAAGGCTCTTAAAGGCAGCCGAGCTGCGTCGAGTGTGCACGCCTACTTGCATATTATGTAGATATAGAAGAGAGAGAGCAAGAGAGAGAGATACAGATTCGAAACGTAATGAATTGTACACAAGCGCGCGTACTTGCGTACACGATGTACCGAGTTGTTGTTATTATATACATGTATACATCGCGTATAAATGTTATCATTATTATATGCACATGTATGCAGATGGGAGCGAGAAGCAGCAGCAGCAGCAAGAGTTTCCAATTCAGAGGTCGAACGCACCGCACCAGAGCGAGAGAGAGAGAGAGAGAGACACTTCTTGACATTTTCGATCGATGCTCGAGAGTAGTGCAGTATTATAAGCCGCTGCCACCGCTGTTCGCGTATGTATATAAGTGCACACGTACGCGATGTTATGCGAGCGCGCTCGGCGCACATTGGCCAATTAATTGGTAATCAGTCAATACGTAGCGTACGTACTTATTTATAGGAGCGCAGCAGCAGCAGCGGTAGCAGCGGCGCACATCGGAGTAGTCTGCGCGAGCTTACTACGTTATACACAAGGCATTATCGATAAATCTGGCCTATCCCGATGGGCCCGTGTACCGTATACGTATGTGCGATTCCACTGCTTCTTTCGGCTATTATGAGAACGCACATTGAATTATATATCAGTGAGTCGCTATTATATACGTATATGTGCAGGCGACAGACTTCGCGCTCTGATTGTCTCTCGATTAAAGCTCGCTTCGCTCGAGCTTTATTGGAAAGGGGCGCAACGTGTGTGTATGTAAGCATGACGCTGTAACGTGCATGCAACACGATTCCGCTGTATCCCGAGATTATAATCGTAGGCGATTCGCTGCGATTCAAGTGCGGTATTTTGGGGGGGACATTTAACTCGATTTTCGAGACGAAAAAATCACTTCGTTCAAGATTCTCATACTTTAATAACGAACGAAACGAGTATGTGAAAACATTTACTCGAGGCGCGTATCGAGTTGTTGTGTCTCTGTTACCACAAAATTTCCATTCCACTCGATGACGCGCGCCCGCGCGCTTGTATATACACACACACACACGTATGCCAGTAAAACAATCAAACTCTCCGCGCGTATTTCGATTCTGTTTATTCGACTATGTATGCAGTGACAGCGCTGAAAAGAGAGTTGAAAAGAAAAATCTAAACTGTTCTCTGAACCGCGCGATTCAAAATCGCGGCCGTTCGATGAGAATTCGACTGTATATATGTATGAGTATAAAAAAAACAGCAATTCAATTTAATATTTTCCATGAAAACAGACATGAAATACAATTTGGCGAAAGTCCACGATCGAAAGTATATGCTATAAATGTATTGCTATAAAATGTTTAGAGAGTATCTCGAACTTTTCTTGCATAACTAACTGAAAAAAAGCAACCGAAGACGTTCGGGTAAAAATTACAACATCGTAGCCAAAGACGCAGGTAAGAAGCTGCGGCTGTGTATACATGTATACCAGCGAACAAAGAAAACACGTGCTGCAGAGCGTGTGTGTGTGTGTGTGAGGCGAAAGAAAAAAAAGAGAACCACATCCGAAGAAGAAACACAGCAAAATAAAACCGAGTAAACGAGTACGTAGGTATACACATTCACACACAAACCCTCGCACACATTTTCTTACTTGCTCTCGTATCCTGGCAACTAGTATAATGCGATTATCTACGAGGCCATGGGCTGTGCACTTGCACACACATATACACACACGTATAATATACACAATAGCGAGTAGCGCCTCGCGTGCGAGCGAGCAAAAAAAAAGCTCGCTTTTCGGCAAAGAAAAGAGGTCAATTATTCCAAGCATGCGGCTAAGTGTGTACGTGTGTGTGTGTCTAAGATAGTGAGAAGGAGAGAAACGATACAACATTCGAAACATCCCGATAACCAAAAACACGTTTATGCGTATTTTAGATTTACCTCCAATACCACCTCGATGCGCGCAGAATCGATCGCTCGTCCGTAGCCGCATCTATGCGCGCATAATATGCAGATTACTGCACGCGCTGCACCGCAAGCGATGATATCGCATTATAGCGCGTGATCATTTTTGAATCGAGACTCTCACCGCACTCTGGCATGGCAGTAACGCAATCAATGTGTCCCAGACGCACTTATGGACCTCTCTATATGTGTGTGTACAAAATAAATAGCTCCAATTAGTTTTTTATTTATCTTTTTGTCTTTCGTTATAATATATCGTTGATAGAAAACTTTTTAGCACTGATTAGACTGAAAACACACGGTGTAATTTCTTCAATCGTGTATTATAATGACTTAATTTTGCCTCGTTTGGATTTCATAACATGTTTTGTAAACATTATTAAATTAAATGAGCTCGTTAGCTGGATAGTTTTAAAATCATAACAGAAAGTTTAATCGTACACTAAATTTCGATCGTGAAAGATGAATTCGAGTGGTATATTCAACAGTGCCGTGAGGTAATTTTTATTTCATGAGGATGTAAGTATGAAAATCTATACTCTGGTACTTAATCTCGTTGAAATTTTTTCAGAATTAAGGAGGAACCTTGCGATGAGTGGCCCGAAAATGATAATAAATCAATTGACCAAACGCCTGATACCAAAAATTTTCTAAATTTAACGTTTCTGCAAAAGAATTCAGTAAGTATTGATAATTATACGTGACCCTCAATGTTAACATTTTTAACGAAAATTTTTACATAACTTCAATTTTATTTCAGACCCAAATGCCTCAAGAATATGACGATAATCATGGAAATGAACCCAATGACGATATGGAAATTGTTTTTGAATGCGAAGAAATGAAGCCCACAATTAATTTAATGGAAGCTGAAACTCAACACATAATTAAAACAGAAACCATAAAGGAAGTGAAGAAGGAAAGTTTTGGCGGCGTCGGAGAAGTATTGAATTTTGACTGTGAACCTGGCACACAAAATAAAAAAAGGAGAATTACAAAAAAGTCTAACTATGAACATAAACTCAAAACGCACATCAGTACATTGCTTAATGATGTCACCTACAATTGTGACGTATGTGGAAAATGTTTTGGGTAACCTTAAACGTCACATCGATGCAAAACATAAAAGAATCACTCACGCATGTAACGTGTGCGGTAAGTCATTTTTACAGAAAGGTTATCTCAAACGTCACATCAATGCAGAGCACGAAAAAATCAGTCACGCATGTGATGTATGGGGCAAGACATTTACTTCGAAAGGTAGTCAAACTCCACATCGATGTGATACATAATGGTAACAAGCTTAGTTGCAATATATGTGGAAAAAATTTTGGATTTAAGAGTAATCTTAAAGATCACATCGATTCTGTGCACAATAAAATCATACATACATGCGATGTTTGCCGAAAAAATTCACATACAAATCTGCTCTCAAAAAGCACATCAATGGGATACATATTGGCGTCACATATGCATGTGATACATGCGAAAAGTCTTTCAAACGAAAGGATCATCTGAAATGCCATGTTGACTCGATACATAATGGTATCAGTCATACATCTGATATTTGTAAAAAAAATTTCACAAAGAAGGTTAATCTCAAAACCCATATCAATTCGGTGCATCACTCACGCATCGCAACTTAATAAATGTACAAGATTTTACGTAAATATTCGGAAGACTAATCAAAAAAATTTGATGTGTGATATCATGATTACTTCCAATGTTATCTCATTTTGTAAAATAAATGTTTGAGTTTCAAAAGAATAAATAAATTTTTGGAAAAAAGTCAATTACCTTATTCATTTTGAACCAAAGTTAATGGCAATTTTATAATGCTAGTACTTTTCTGTTTTCGTTTCACGACTCACTTAAACCTGTGGAAACTGAGTCACTTCAGAACTTCTTCCGATACCTAACCCGCTACTTTTTTAAAGAGGATTATGCGTATCAGTATATTATTATGCAAAACGCATCAATTGACGAGGTGAGAGCATTCATCGCTCAGCGGCTATTAATTAGTCCGCAAAATACTTCGAGCATCAGAATGTCCATTAAAATAATCATTTGTATCAAATGTATATAATCACAGCTACCACGTATATACAGACTGTGGACGCGTATAATTGCGATAGGCAAATTCCTTGAATATTTGCATGAGGGCTTCCCACGTCACGATGGCGCACATTATTATTATAATTTTGAAAATGATTGAGCGCGTAGCTCAACGATGTATGTATCGTGCGTATTAGCTCTTGAATTTTACACTTTAATCAGCCATAGTTCGCTCTTTCGTGATACAAGTTCGAAATCGAAAAACTCCCAGAAACAGCTTCTCCGAGGGAGAGCTTGGCAAATCCATTAATGCAAAAAGTCGGTGCGTCGAGCAAGCGGCGCAATCAAAGCTACCCAAAAACTCGCCCTTCTCGCTCTCTCTCTTACTGACGGTAGAGTAAAACTGTTTTCTCCCATACACACGCGTACACATAGACTCTTATAATCAAGCGCTCGCTAGGCCGAGGGTGTACAGCGTACGTACGCGCGCACACTTGGGCTGGTATAAACCGAGCAAATGTTTAAATTTTAATTAAAACTATTTCTCTGACAGAAAGAGGTCGAAATGCACGCGCGAGGCACATAGAGCAACCCGAGTAAGTGTGTGTGTGTGTGTACGGTGTGTGCAAGGAAGCGTACCTGCACACATCAGAGCGCGAGAGACAGAGAGGGATGGAGATGGACCGACTGAGTAAGCGCGGCCAAAGAGAAAAACAATTATTCAAATACATGCTGCTGCTGCTGCTGCCGCTGCAGAAAAAGTCAACTCGCGAGATATACTAAAAGCCATCATCGTCGTCTGCATATATACTGGCTAGCGTGGGTGTGTGTATGTTAGTGAGTGAGTAAGTATACGCGGGGAGAAGGGAGGGAACTCGCGCGAGCTGCACACAAACACACACACACACACACACATAAAAAAACCCTCCCAAAAGTGATATATATAAAAACTGAGAGCGGGCAGAGAAATAAAAAGCAACTACAGCTCGCGGAGACACACATTTTTTGACTTTTACTCTGCAGCGTGCCTATCTATATTATACGTTTTATACATGCCGCGCGTATGTATGTGTCTATCTATTTTTTTAATATGTATAATACGAGATATACACTCGCGAGTGCGCGTCATAAGCTACTACTGCGCGCGTGCGGGTGGCTGGGTGTGTGCGGGAAATTTTTTGCGGGTGCACAAACGAAACTTGTCAAACGCAGTTTTTCGTGTATACATAACAACAGCAGCGACAGCAGCGGCAATCGTTTATGTTAAAGCTTATCTATCCGCGAATGAGAAATTGAGAACGACGCTGCGCGCGGGCTTGCGTATATATATATATATCTCGTGTATACCATTGTATTCAAAGATTAAAAGACGCGACACGAGCACGATGAGACGACGAGAAAATGGGAACAGAGAGGTCGGCGCGCGGCTCGTGATGTAAACGAAAGACGCATGAAATTAATAGCGAGGAGAGATAGAGCGCGGCAGCATACATCGTAATATCGATCGCTGCGGCACGATTATAGCGGGTTCTGTATCGCTGCTGAATTTAAAATAATATGTTGTATGATTAATGCTTAGCGAATTCGATTGTACTGTAGCCAATAGAGAATCTGTTTAATCGAAAAGGGCGGAGACATTGTATAATACCAGTATACGATCGAAATATGCCTTTTGCAGCGCGTGAATATTACGCGCGATTTCCTCGAATCAATCCAAAAGTAACGCGATATCCAAAAAGGAGTAAAAAATAAAAAGAGCAGATTAACACAAAACTGTTGAAGAGAACTCGTGTATACATATTCTCTCGCACACGGCTGAGGAAGCAAATTTCTCTTTGTCTCGGGGAAAATAATATTGCAACGATGGTGTCAGCAGCCGTGTTACTGCGCGCGCACACAAGCTTTTACAATGTGCGACCTGTAGTACAATGGAAAAACTTGCTGAAGCATCCCTTAGAAGAAAAAAAAAGGGAGAAGAAAAACAACGAAAAAAAAATAGTGTTTAAAATTGCCGTGTCTTGAGCTTGCGCGAACGCTGTTGTTGAATCACTTTGAACTTTGCATATACCAGCACAAACATGCGATACATACACACACGCGCACCCGCACACTAGACCAGTATTATAATCGACGCTCTCGGAAAAAACAAACTAAACCCCTGTACACAGCGAGTATCAAGTTTCATCTCGATATATATAAATTCGAACGAGTGGATAAATTCATCGTTTCGAGAGTTCGATAGTTCATCCGTGTAGCGCGAATTAATTATTTCAATTACGCTCTATACCCGTTTAATAATTATATGCTAAGTGCATTTCGACGCACGCCGTTCAATTATTCATCATCGGCGTTGCGCGCGGGGGCACAGATTATATTAATAATATATACGCGTGTACATACGGTCATCTTGGAATTTAGCGCGAGATTACGCGCGGGCAGGCTTGCAGTTGATATTTTTCTCTCCGGCAAAAAACCACGTTAAACACTCGAATATTCCTATACGATAGAGATGTTTAACATTTTATGGTTTTGTTTGGATAATGAAAAAATTTCTTGAACCCCCCACGCAAACTTACATTTGCTGCGAACGCAATTCGAAAAGCATTGATATATTAAGATTTTACATTTATGAAAGTACTGAGAAATGGAAATAACGATTATGAGGCTTTTACTAATTGGGTTTTTCATGCTCAGCCCAAAAAGTAGATGAAAAAAATCTGGGCGGATAATTGAATGGAGAGCTAAGAACTAAATAGCCAAAGAATGAATAGAGAGTAGTAATTAGTAATACGCATAAGATGGTACGCGAAACTTCCCAACGACAATGAATAAAGGTGTGATCGTATGATATCGTATAAGACTCGATCTTTTTGGCACAATTTTTATTAAAATTTTAGAAAAATATATATTCAAGTATCTGTATACATTTAAAATTTTAAACAATTATTTCTTCTCGCAATTGTATCGTTCGTAATATTTGCCACCTTCATGAACTATTATTTATTGTTTAAGCAAATTCACTTTTTTCAAAAAATTTTTTGTTTCCTGTCCTTTATGGTGTTCAATCAATTTCGATTTTACTTCAAATTTACTTTCATGCTCTGTTTTGATGGCAGAGCAACTTCGCTTCTTATCTAAATTTCATCTCGCACTAATTGTTGGATGCGTTATTTTTGTAACCTTCGTGAATTGTCGTTTGGTGTCTGACCAAATAACTATGTTTCCCGAATTTCTTCTCACATTTATCACAATGGTAATCTTTCCGATCCTCATGAACTGTCTTTAGATGGGTGAACAAATGCGTTTTTGTCCAAATTTTGTGCTGCACTTATTGCATGCGTAATCTTTTCGACCGTAGTGTACTGTGCTTTGGTGTACAAGCAAATTGCCGACCTTCATGGACTGTATTTTGGTGTTTGGTTAAATTAGATTTAGATCCGAATTTCTTTTCGCACCTGTCACATGTGAAATCTTTCCGAACTTCATGAACTACCCTTTGGTGGTAGACCAAATGTGATTTTTGCTTAAATTTTTTCTCGCACTCGTCACAAGCGTAATCTTTACGACCCATTTTCATGGGCAGTTGTTATGTGTGGAAGCAAATGCGATTTTTGGGCAAATTTCTTCTCGCACTTGTCACACGCGTAATTTTTCAAACCCTCGTGGATCGTTTTAAGATGAATGAGCAAATTGCTTTTTTTTGTAAATTTCTTTTCGCATCTGTTGCATGCGTAATCTTTCCGACCTTCATGTACTGTGTTCAGGTGGGCGAGCAAACTCGGTTTTTGGGAAAATTTTTTCTCACCCTTGTCACATGCTAAATCTTTACGACCTTCGTGCACTGTCTTATGGTGTAAAAGCAAAGTCGATTTTAGTCTAAATTTCTTCAAGCAATAGTCGCATACAAAATCTTTGCGACCTTCGTGAAATATTTTTTTGTGTTTTATTAAATTGCTTCGATAACCAAATTTCTTCTCGCACTCATCGCATGCGTAATCCTTCCGACCTTCGTGAACTGTCTTTTGGTGTATTAGCAAAAGGCATTTGTGTCCATATTTTTTGTCACACATGTCGCATAGGTAATCTTTGCGACCTTCGTGAACTGTCTTTTGGTGTAAAATTAAATGGGCCTTTTGTCCATATTTCATCTCGCATTTGTCACATGTGAAATTTTTGCGACCCTCGTGTACAGTCTTTTGATGGCGGAGCAAATGCGATTCTTGTGTAAATTTCTGCTCGCACTTGTCGCATGAGTAATCTTTCCGACCTTCATGGACTGTCCTCTGGTGCCTGATCAAATTCGACTGTTTTCCAAATTTCTTCTTGCATTTATCGCATGCAAGATCTTTGCGAAGTTTTTGTCCACATTTTTTCTCGCACTTGTTGTGTACTGTCTGTATGTGCACACCTAAACTCTGTTTATTTCCGAATCTCTTCGCACACTTTTCACATAAGTAATCTTTGAAAACTTCGTGGAATATTTTATTGTGCTTTAATAAACTTGATTTATTTTCAAATTTCCTCTCGCACTTGTTGCACGGGAAATCGTCGTGATCCTTGTGT